TGTGGATTAGCGGTTCACAGCACTTTGACTCTCGCTGCCACAGGATCCAAAACACAGCTGGTTTTTATAACTGGTCAGCACAACCTGCACAGGGACGCACTCAGTCTTCTCAGTCTCCATCCGGCCCTCCTCAAAGACACTGCTTCTCCTGCACTGTAGTGTCTTTCTCCTCTGCTGTTTTGCTTTTGAATGTAAATCCTCAATCCTCCCATCTTTTCTTCTTCCTCCCCACCTTTTACCTCTTTTTGTCCATCAATCCCTCTGTCCTTTCCCCCAGTGAACCTCTCCATCCCCTCGTTATTGCCAGCCATCCAAATTCTTTGCACCCGGTGTCACCTGCTTTGTAATCTGATTACTTCTTGACGGAATTAGTATGTATATTTAATGCAGTTTTTTTTTCTTCCTTTTCTCCTCTCTGTCTTTTATTCTTTTTAAATCTTGATGAGTGATGCAGGGAGGAACGGAGATGAGGTGGGGTTGCTCTTCTTGCATGTCTGGCGGATATGCCAGGGCCATGCTAATAAATGACAGCTGATTTATGCGTCTGTATTCTTTTATTTATAAAAAAATAGCAAGCGGGCTGATTTCTGATATTAATAATACAAGTGGATCCACTTTGATTAGGCTTCTGTGGAGAGCTGTGCATATTCAGCATTACAATTAAAGCCTCTGATGTGAAATAGGAATGACACGCTAATGAAGCGAGCTAGCGAGCCTGAACCGCGACTGTCCAACAGCATTACGGCCCATCTCGGATGAAGAGTAATTATACGAGGAACACTGAAATGTCATTAAAAATCTTCAGTAAGTGATTTAACCCACCATTCCTCACTAATGCTAGATATTTCTTTTTTTTCTTTACCAACCCCCACATGATCAACTCCCAAGGTTTTCCTTTTCTTTAAAAAAGAAAAGAAAAGGTCTTTCTTTTCCATGAGGACAAGACCAAACTTCTCCTTCAGAAGTTCCATAAACAACAAAAAAAGGGGGCACCAGACTCCTTAAACATAAACATATTGAGGTTTGAGACAAAGACATACAATTGCATTGTCCTAATTTAATTGCAGAACTCAGTGGTGCCGGTGGTGGTAGGTAATTGAAATCATTCCATTATAAATTCCATTATGAATTGGTGATTAAGGCCAGAGGTGATTACCATGGATTAAAGATGATAGTTGGGATTTTTTTTTTTTCCAGCATAACCTCTTCAGCCACCTGCGTGCTATCCACCTCAAACAGCTTGATTTATCACAACTAACATGTAAGGGAAGAAAGTAATATGAGAGAGAGATATAACGGGTGAAAAAAAAAGAGGGGCGATAAAGCAAAGAGTGTGTTTGAGGGGAGTGTTGTTTCTAAGAGGATTTAGTTAATCTGATTCTACCCCCTTCTCTCTCGTTTGATGTGCTCATTCGCAGGCAAAAAGCAGCCTCGGAGGGTTGTTATTGTTGTTGTTAAGGCATAAAGAAAACAAATAATGAGCTATATCATGTTACCATATCATATTCATTAGGGCTATTGTCAAATCTCTCTCTGCTTGTGTGGGTGAGTGTGTGTGTGAGATGACGGGGAGAGAGAACCTGATAGGATGTATGTGTGTGTGTGTGTGTGTGTGTGTGTGTATGTGGTAGATAATGCCACAGGCAAGAATTCATGAATATCAGCAGTTTCTCACCATTTTGTTGGGTTAATCCCTTGTTTCAGTTGGAGAAATAGGCATTTCTCTTGCATACATTACACCGGTGCCTGCACATCACATCCACACACACAAAAAAAGTACCTCTACGTCAGGTGCCTCTGATGTAATGATGAGTGAAGTTTTATGTATCGAGGTCATAGTTTTTCGTCTATCTCAGCAGCTCCTTCGACAGAAGGGGAAATCAGACGTGTGGCGAAAGGGGCAGGTGAGTTTGGATTCAGGTTTACATTCAAACGTGGTGACCGGTGGAAAACACAACACTGGAACAAGTGTTAAAGAAGTCTGACCTCATGGGAGTTTTTTTGTTCTTATTCGAAAGCTGTCTCTTTCTCCTCCGATTTGAGTGAAGATTTGCTGACTGTGAGGGTGGTTTTATTTTTTTTACATAAAACTGGGCAAAAACATGACTACCCCGAACCAAAAACATGCACTAAAAAAACTCCACCGCTGCTGACGAGACAAACACGTGACCTCCTCTGATGGCATCTGATGTGGAGCACGACGCCTCGTGGCACCCAACTCGGCACCGGCTGGGCGGCTACAGGGAGCTGGGTGAGGGCGGGGAGCGGGCACATGAGTCCCCTCGCCCACCACCGAACCGAGCATCATGCCTCGGAGCTATGCAATTATTTTTGCACTGCGTCCAATATCAACTTGAGAGCAATGCAAATTATTTAAGACGCGCTTTTCAGGGCTCGCAATTATAATAATGATGATCTCAATTAGCGTTGCCATTGCCTCGGACTATTTAGCAGGCAATTTTGCAGCCTGGGGGCGAGGGTCTTCTAGGGAGCCGACACGCATCGTCAGGTCAGAAGGGGTGGAGAGAGAAAGGAAGAGACAGAGGGAGAGAGAGTCGACACTCTTAATCAATAAACTGTGAGACTGTGAGATATTTACCACCCAATCCCACAAGGGGACGGTTCATAAATTGACCTAATTGGTCAGTGTTGGAGATGAAATGAATGATGCCAGGATGCACTGTCTAATTCAGAAGGGCAGGATGTAAGCCATTTGGCCTCGTACTGTTGTGCCGAGATATACTGAGATACACGTCAAAGAGGTTCAAGGAATAGTGTGCTCGAAAATGTTCTCACTCGCTTCCCAAGAGTTAGACGAGAAGACTGAGCCCGCTCTCAAAAGTCTGTGCATTGAATAGGAATCTACAGCCAGCAGCCAGTTAGCTTAGCTTAGCAGGAAAGCCTGGAAATAGGGGGAAACAGCTAGCCTGGCGTCTTCCATAGAGATAGCGCACATTTAAGCACCGCTAAAGCTCACTAATAAACTCTTTATACTTTGTTCATTCTATACAAAAAGCGTAAAAAGAGCACACTGGCATTATGGGAGGTTGTGCGTTTGTGCTATGAGGCTTCTGTGGTACCTTCATACATGCAAAGCACTTGAGAATGCAAAAGGGTGAAACAATCGCGTCCATACAGTCAATATTAAGCTACAACTAGCCGGAAACAGCTAGCCTGGCTCCTGTCAAAGGCAACAAAATCTGCCTACCAGCAGCTCTGTTCTCACAAATTAACACGTTAATAATGTAATCCCTACAAAAACCAGAGTAGCACAACACATAACTCTGTACAAAACCCCAACTTGTCGTTTTAACTCTAACAAACACGATGTGGCCTGCTGAGCTGTAGAGGTGCTGGTAGCTGGATTTTGTTACCTTCAGTCAGAATAAAGCTAACTGTTTTCCTCTGCTACTGGCTAAAGCTAAGCTAAGCATCCTGGCTGTAGCTTCATATTTACTGTACAGGCATGAGAGTCAATATTCTCATTCAACTCAACAAGAAAGCCTATACGCATATTTCCCAAAATGTCTAACTATTGCTTTAGAGCTTCCAAAACACTCACTCAGTGTTTCCCAGCCTCTCATGTAGTGTACTGCACTGCCACTGTATATTAAAGGGCCTTCTTTCCCCCAACCATTCATGTGGAAAAGGCTTGCACCACCAGCTACCCTTTCTTTTATTCATCGTACTGTAAATAACTCCACTTTATGAAAAGCAGCCAGTGTGACTCACGGATACCTCTCTAACCACAACCCATTATTATTTCATGGCCTTTGAAAGAAGGGTCTATAGCAGGCGCTCTCACACTTTAATGTCGGAGCTCCCTCTGATGTTGTGTAGTACACAGCGGCCCTTGTTGCACTCCGTATGCGATCCCTCACTTGAATTCACAAACACTTCCAAGTGCATAAATAGCACGGAAGACGAGCGCCTTGCGAGCTAGCTAATGCTCTGGAACGCCATTGCTGACGAGATAACAGGAGCCTGCCATGGCTGATGCCTGGGACTGTCATTGGGGTGGGGGGGGGAGAAGTGTGTCTGCACGCCTTTATGAAAAATGCTGTTGTTTTCTGACCTCTCATGGGGCATCATATGGTAAGGAAAAAGAACATGCATCAGCGTTACGATTAAATGACCAGCGGACATGATTCAAAGGGTCCCACGATGTCCCTGAGCACCCTTTGGAACGTGTAGAAGGCTCTCGGCATACAGACGAGCTAATGGGCAACCTATTGGTCATGGTAGATTCAGTTTGAATCTCAATGAGGGTGTCAGTGTGTGGCTGCTCCATGACCGACAAGGTGTGGTAGGCCTGCTGGAGTTGATTTAGCCACACGGCATGTCATAGCGCTTTAACAGTCAACATCCATCAATCGAAAAAGGCTAAAAGCCATGTTTTTTTTTCTTTTGAAGTGTCAAGAGGAAACTGCTGTCTCGAAGATGGATGGAAAATTGGAAGACGTCTGTTGAAATTTCACATCATTGTTTTCTCTACGTGATGCAGAACCTCGATGGTAATAAGGCAGATATTTTTTACATGAGCATGACAACAGACTTAATAATGTAGTTTGTGCCAAAACCACTTTTGCAGTATGTAGCCCAGAAATGAATCCTAGCCGGGGTAAGTCGCTCCTTACAAAGTGCAGTACTTCCGTGTATACTGGGACATGCTTGTGGTACATGAAAGCAGCGGGGTTGAATCATACAAAGGCTAAAGCCATTACAGGTCCAGAGGGGTGGGCAAGACAGTGCCTTGTCCCGCTCCTCTAAACAAGACTCTAGGTGCTGCAAGCTGGAACAAAGCCTTGTAACATATACATTAAACTTTAATTGTTTTTTTTTCCAACCCCTTCCTTCACATCTCTGAAGTAGCTGCTCCTGAAACGTTAAAAGTGTAATGCCAGCTAGATTTTCATGGCTGTGCCTTTGTAGAATAAAAGATATATGTGTAACAGTGGAGGGAAAAGAAATACTCTCTGATGCTGGAGGTAGACAGTTGCTTTTCAAATTCCAAGTTTTGGTCCTTTATTTTATTCAGCAGTGAAATGCCATGAATACAGAAAATAATAACGTCTGTTACAATTCTCAACCATGACCTTCTAATGTCAGAGAACCTTTAACGTATGGACACAGTACACAGTAATGAAAAGTATCAAAAAAAGTAGTTGAATCTCGATCAAAAGGAAATGAAACAAACGAAAAAAGTTTTCACCAATTACATAAACATATGTTTGCTACAGTCCCAATTTACTGTATACATAGGGGGATCATATTCCCAATTATTAGAGAAGGATAGCAGTAGAAAGGATACATGACTCAACTGCCAGACATAATGCTTCATAAAGTATGCACAGAGGTACAAGCAATAAATACACACATTAGGTTAAGCCTTACAGCTACGCAAAGCAGATGCAGAAAAAGCAGGTTTGCTATTCTTAGCGAGCAATGAGAGAGAAACAGTAAAAATTCAGGTAAGTCAGAAAAGAAACACTGAGATTTTTTTTTCCTCTTAGAAAAAAGTCTGGTAAATTTATGGGTCCACCAACATTTTTTTACATAAGTATGCACAGTTATCAAAATACAGACAAAATCAACCCAGAAAATCCAGACAATCCTAAAATCTAGTGGAGGAGCAGATCGCAGTTCTGGAGGTCTTTCTGGTATTATGTGCAAGCAACTATTTTAGACATTTTTTTACTTAATTTATACAAAACCCATGCAAATCTACAGGTAATATGCATTCTGTGGCTGACAGGTTTTATCCCTCCCAAAACAGTATATCTGAGGTAATGCACTCCTATGCATTGTACGTACATTTAGGCCATCGTCCCGATGATTTTTATTATATTCTTTTTATTGGTTCTTGTTTCCAGTCCACCAAATGATTTTTAGACATGCATTTTTAAAACACAATATTCCCTTACAGGTAATCTATACATTATCATTCTACAAATGTTTGAGGACAACCTATTACAATGCAAATCTTCCATATCTTGACGCAGGGAATGTAAACGTTGGTTTGAGCCACGTCCTATGAGACAAGCGTAGTAAAGTGTAACAGCTCTTGTGGCATTCTAATAACTCGTGCAATCTGTCATAATTGTTCTGAATTTGTTGTGCAGAGGTAGAAGCTTTTAGAAAGCCTTTTTGGGTAAGTGGGAGAACCCTTTTTTTTTTTTTTTTGAAAGACGCCACGTCCTTTTTATTTGGTGTGATAAGATTATTAAGAACGTCGTCTTCAAGTCGTTTTGCTGACTCCAGCCAAGTATTGAAGGGATAAGCTTTGTTCCTGTGCCCAGTACCCTCTTGACGTGGAACTGGTATATGTGTGTGTGTGTATTTGTGTGTGTACTTGACATGCTGTGTGTTTGTACAGTACTGCATGTGTCTGCGTGTTAAGCTCTTACAGCCAATTCCTTGGCTTGGCACAACACTTGAAAACAACATAAGCACAGTGTTTCCACTTTGGTCAAAGCAGGCAGACGCATTGCTCGTTACAGCACGATACAAAGCCACTCGTTGGTTCTTTGACAGCGTACATTTTCTGCAGCTGGAGAGAAAGTTGGCAAAAGCTCGGGGTCCCTGTGTGTGTATGTATGTGTGTGTCTGTTCGTGCACATGTATGCTTGTCTCTGCCAGGGTGTGTGTGTGTTTTTTTTTTTTTAGCATTTCTTTATCCCATACAAGAGGAGGCAGAATTTTGTGTAACTTTGGTTTACTGAAAACAGAAATGACCATTAAAGCAACAACACTTTTCTAGATGACATTGGCTGTGAGGGAAATGATGGGACGTGGTCTCCACAATAACTACTTCTCTTTAGTTTCTTATAAATACCAAGTGTGTTATAAAAAGCTGGCTACCTATACAGAGTACACCAGTGCTGACACCGGTTGTATCTATATAGTTTGGAAGCTATGAAACACACCATGAGTATTTTTGATGACATATTAAAGCAAATATCACCTAGAAAAGGTTAACTCTCACCTTAGATATCCTCTTCTGCAATGGCTATTATTATTTGCTTTTACATGGTAACCAAGCCACATCATTTCATATCAACTTGAAATTATGACTTATTTGGCTTCACTAGATATTTTTCATGTTTGGTTAGCGATGTTTTCAGTTTCGGTTTCAACGCGGCTCGGAAACAAAACCGCCACGGAAATAAGACGTGACATTATTTTGACAGTCCCACTTAGAACATTACATATTCACCAGGTTAGAAAAAAATCATTAAAAAAAAACCCCCAATGACTTTTGATGTGTAATGCATAACAAAGAGTAAAAACTTAAAATAAACTTCACAACAACACAATGTTTCTGCACTTCCATTGAATACACAAATGTTTTGTTTTGGTCATAATCCACTTTTACAGTTAGCTGCTCTCTACCAGTCAAATCACCAGCACAAGATGCCTGCAGTTCAAATATCACATCACCTTTTTTATACTTACGGTACGTCTGGCAGAAAATCTCCAAAGTGGACGTTCTATGAGTTAATCAAATTACACATCAAAATCAGCATTTATTTCCCCTCTCTCTTAACTCGTGATCATCTTTGTATAGGGCTAAATGAAACAATCCCAGAGGTTATTCGAAGGTAGTTTGCGGAACAAAAGCTTCTCTTTGTACTAGTTTAAAGTCACAGAAGACGGACCAAGAGGAGTTTGGTGGCTTCTGTCTATAAGCTATTGGCCATTGCTAGTGTTGGCTTTGGTTTCTAGCTGTTGCCTGTGACTGTTTGCAGGTAGACAAAGCTTTAGAACGAGGAGGTAAGGAGAACAGCAAGGAGAAAATGATGCAGAAATGCATTTGTTTTGTAAATGGTGCTTTACACAAACTATTATTTTTTCCCCAACTGAATTTCCAGTTTTTTTTTTTTACTTTTAATCACAAACAGATAATAGACTGGAAGCCAACTTTTTTTCCTTTCTTTTTTTTCTCTTTTTTTTTCTTTTTTCTGGACAGCTGCAACAACAGTTTTGGTACCGAAGTTCCGTTACTGGTGTGATTCAGGGAATGGCATTTACAGTTGGTGGTGTCTAAAATCATATTTGGAAATTAACGATGGTTAAAAAAAAAAAAAAAAGAGCTAAAAATAATATACTGGTTTTTATAATAGTAGCAACATACAGGCAGTGACACAAATTTCTGAGACTACTCCTGTGCAAATGATAACAGAGCAACAACTTGAATTGAACCAGCAATTGTCTCTAGACATTAACAACTACTGGGGGGTTGGATTATTCACAAACATAAAACGTCTTCCTTTTTGGCAGTATATGAGGCCGCTAGCTTTCAACGGAACATGATTTGCTCATTTGTTTCATGTTTTTCCCCCATCCATGAGTCCATCATCCTTGTACTGTATGTGGCCACGCCATCTCTAATGAAATAGGTTTCAGAGAGTTAATTTTTTTTAATCAGACATCTCATGCCTGTCATGTTTAGGGATCCCAAAGGGCTGCAACAAAGAGTTCCTTTGGACCAGTCTCCATCCGGATGCATGCGCAATAAATAGTCCCAGTGGTGAGAGAGACAAAGAGAGAGTCAGCTGTGGTTGCTTGGACTGTGGAGTGGTTTCTAGTCTTGCAGGAGGTCTGTGTGAGAGAAACAGTGCGGCTGGGTGAAGGGATACGTCGTCCAAAAACTGTATCCTAGTCACTCCAGGTCTTCTGATAAGTTCCCTTCCTCCAGCTCCCGGTCATCGTCCAGCTCTGGACTGTGATTGGCTGTCGTCACCAGTGACATCGGACAGTCGTCGTCATCCATGTTAAGTGGCTCCTCCTTCACGTGAACAGGTGGCCTGTGACACAATCACATTGGCAATGAATGGGAGATTTTTATATGTTTTATGGCAAATTCTGCACTGCTTTGACAAAAAAAAATATATAGTAATGCTAATTATTGCCACTATTAAATAATATGTAAAAGAGAGCAAGGATTTCTGTCCATTAATTCCCTTTACTGCGCATGGAATACACAATGCAGTGTTCAGATAACAGATAAATATTTGGTTGCATCAAAAACCAGGCACAGAACATCCATTACATGCATTATCTTGTGAAAGTAACAACCATGTTGTTTGCTAGACGCTAATTCGACATGATGCCTCACGTCTACTGTAAGTAAGCGCATGAAAATTGTATGAAAAACATGGCCTCTGTAAGGCCGATAAGCTGTGATGTTCCAGACATGTTTGGCATTTAAAAGTTTACTGATGACACCAGGTTGAAATACATGAAAAAGGAAAAAAGGGGAGAAAAAAAAAAAAACAGGCCACATGATAAATAATGGAGAATTTCTCATCCCTGAGCCCCCTGGAGCAAAGGCAGAGGAGAGGCTTTTTTATCTAGTTAATAGAAAGCGCAGCCACTCGTTAATATGCAGGGGCTGTGCATGTCGCTCCTCAAGAGGAAAAACCGGCAGCTAGGTTCTGCCATTAATCAACTTCAGCCCCGGCAGTTCGCTCGGACACCATGATACATGTTTTTAACTCTAAATGGATGAATATCTTTAGCCATTGTCAATAAGCGCTGGGCAGGAAGCAGAAGCAGCGCCGTGAGCAGGACGCCTCTGCCTTCAGAACAACAGAGGAGTGGGCGGAAAAAAAAAGAAGTGTTGGGCGACTAACAAGAATAATAATGCTGTCACACACAAACAAGGCATAACATGATCTGGGGCCCTAGTCGGGGAGAGGGGTTTGTGCCACGATGATAAATCTGACAAAACCTAATTATTTCTGACACATCGGATGCATCAGAAAATCCCCCTAGACTTTGAAAGAGGGGAGAGTGGGGAGAGAGAGGGAGACTTATCAAGTGGTAGTACGTTAGGACTCGTCTCATAGCCTCTCTCCTGGGCTGCCTTCATCAGTGGGAAGGAGGGGAGGGGAACGGGGGGGCTTTGAATTTGAAAAGAATTTTAAAAGGTACAGATGACTTTAATATTCAGAGCCAAATACTGTAAATTAATATTCTGATGTGGTGGGATGAAGAGAGAAGGCTGATCTGAGCAGGATGCAAGCGGAGCGATGAATATTTCTGTTTCTGCCCCTCAGATTCACGGAGGCAGCGAGAGGCAAAAGAAAAACCCCTGAGCCAGAGGTTACTCTGCTCCCTCTGACCTGGCAATACACAGTCTACTGAATGCAAACACTAATTCTTAACAAGAAGCTAATTCACTTCTGTTGTTTTATGCATTAAGTACAATCATACCATAGTAATTTAAATACTTTAATGATACTTAACAGACTAACAGAAAATTCACTGTAAAAAAAAGACTGTTGAAAAAAACCCAAAAAACCTTTAAAGTCCTCAATTTGGACTCACAGGTACATTTTTCCTATTTTATGGCATTTTATAGATTAAATGATAACACATTTGATTGAGTAAAACTGACAATTAATCCAAAATAAAAAATAATCATTACCATTTGTATATGGATATCTTTGCTGCTTTCTGATGCCTAAAAACACACAACAACAACAAAATGATTAAGGATAAAGGGACACAGTAACTAGTTCATAAGAGGTCCCGTTATTTAGCATATATAAGCAGCATACAATGGTTTAATAATTTCTGAAAACACACTATAATGTAGTAAAAGGACATTTTTTAATGTACAGTATTTGTCAACAATTATAACTTTTCCATTACACATGTATTTTACCATATTGTCATTTATTATCTGTTTACACAGCAGCCTCCGCTTATGGAAGCCGACATGACGAGATGTTGACAAATACATTCATACGAAAAAAATATCCGCTTCGCTTTGTGAAGAGAACTTGCTTTCCTAAAAAGATCCTGATCATCTTTTAGTCACCATTACTTAAAAAATCATAATCAGTGTGTACTTGAATACATCACATTGATCAACTGACACGGCTGAATGTGACATGTATCACAAATCAAAGGTCT